TTTTTTTTTTTTTTTTTTTTTTTTTTTTTTTTTTTTTTTTTTTTTTTGGATGGTTTTTACGCTTGGTTTCTGTTTCTTCTCTGACTTCTGGCCTTAGTAGCCTGGGATTCTGGTAATTAGTGAGTCTTCAGGTGTAATAGGATGTTACCCTGGGGGTTTTGTGGCCTGTGTAGCCTCTGGGATTTTGGGTGCTAACCTTGCCTCTTGCCTCTTAGTCCCTAGTACCAGCATAGCCTGGGTTCCCTAGTGCCAGAATGACTTCTGGGAAAGCAGGTGGAGTTGTGGGCTGGAAAATGGAATCTGGGGGGGGGAGGGAGTACAGTTTAAGGCTGTTGGGTGTATTTTAAAGGGACTTGGTGGACAAGGACTTACTTGGTGTTCCTGGTGACAATGGGCCTCTGGGAAAGCAGGCAGAGTTGTGGGACAGAAAATGGAGCACAGGGGATAGGGTGCAGCTTACCGCTATTGGGTGTGCTTTAGGGGGCAGTTGGCAGGCAGGACAAGTTAGTAAATTTTTACCTATCTCGGTGCACATCTAGATAGCAGACTGTGTACAAATAGATGTATCCTAGTTACCCAAGGTAAAGATGGGGACCCATCTGTCAATCAGTGGTCTTCGTTCCTAGGCAAACAGAATCCTATTTATAAAGTCCTTTCCTATACTAGTATCTTGAAGGATACTGCCTATGTTTTCTTCAAGCAGTTTCAGTGTTTCATGTTTCACATTGAGGTCTTTGGTCCATTTGAAGTTGTTTTGTGCAGGTGAAAGATAGTTTCATTCTGCATGTGGACATTAAGTTTTCCCAGTACCATTTGTTGAAGGGGCTTTCTTCAGCATGTATTTTTGACCTCTTTGTCATGTCATGACATGAAGGAGCAAGCTGGCAAGCTACCTGAAAGAATAGGGAGTGCAGAGTCTTTAAGGTTGGCGTGCTCTAGGGGTAGTGGGTATTCAAAGAACAGCAAAGAGACATTTGTGGCTAAAATAGAACAGATTTCTAGCTCAGTCACAGCTAAGTTATGTGACACTGAAAGTCATGGCTAAGGATTTGAGGTTCACCCCAAGAGAACCACCACCGGAGGATTCAGCTGGAGGTGTGTGGCTAATCCTGCTAGCTACCGTGAGAACAGGCTGTAGGTAAGGTTTATCACAGTAGTCCAGGCAAGGGGTTACTGACCATCAGTGCTTCAAAAAAAAGAACACATTAGGATAACACAGTGGGAGTTCCAATGGGGTGATGAGAAGACTAGAGACTGCAGGAAGTTCAGGGCTAGAACACCCTTTGTCCCTTTAAGACAAAACATGACCTGAAATTTAGGAAATGTTCACGGCAGTATTTTTGGTGGGTTGAGTAAAGAAGAGAATGTCCCATGAGTTATCTATTGGTTTGGAAGTAACCTACTTTTATATTCCTTCAAATATTAAGAAAGAGAAAAACCATCTGATGGAAGACATCAAAAGACTGAAGCAAGACAAACAAGCTCTTGAAGTGGACTTGGAAAAAGTGAAGAAAGAGAGGGACCAAGCCAAAGATCAGATTGCTTATGCCACAGGTAAGCACGGCCGAGGCCATGTCAGTTCTCTATTCCAATCATGAGTTCAAGTAATAGGAACCAGATGGCATCATTAAATCACTTACCCTGTCAATAACTGGTAATCTTTGAAACATTTTAAACTAGTGATAAAATAATATATACTTCTTATTTTTAACAAGAACAATTACAACGTCAAGGGAGAATCAGACATTAGTTGAGTTCATAGCTTTGTGTTGAGTTGTTTAGAGGACTGTAGTCTTAGCCTGGCTGAAAGCTTCCTAAAGGCAGCTGAAACATGCTCTGAAGTATTTGCCATGTGAACACATATTGCTGCATTATTTTTTATGAAATGCAAAGAAAATTTTTCCACCAGGAAAATTTCTGGGAGAAAGATAAGAATAAACAGAATGTAATGGGAATGGGATGGGGGAGTACAAACAAACACTAAGAGGTTTGGAAGTAAAGAAATGGAGGTAGGGCTAGGGAGGGGCTGCCTTGAGCAGATTGCTGGGTAGGTAGTGGGTGGCAGACAAGAAAGGTCAGAAGAAAAAAAAAAAAAAGAAAGGTCAGAAGAGTTCTTTTTGCCAAAGTTAGCCTTCTATCTACAGTACCTTCGGCTTCAGTGTAAAAGCGGTACAAACAACCCATTCTTGAGTGCTTATGAGAAAATGATGTTTCCTTTATTATCTCTGAAGTAGAAGAGGAAAAGCTATTTTTAAAAGTCCAAAACGTTTTTCATATAAATTTATTGTATTACCTTAAGCAGTACACTTGTAAATGTATGCCATTTTTATTTTTTAACTGTAGGCATTCCTTATTTTTATTATTCCTTAAATCTATTCATTTTCTCCTGAAAACAACTTAAATTTCATAAGTCAGTGGGTAACAATTAATCACACATTTCTAGCTAGCCATCCTTGCTATGATGTAGATTTGGATTATGAACACAATCTCTTATCTTCATTACTAAAAGAATCAACTAGACACTGGTCCATGCGTCATTGGTTTATGCCTTTTGTTTCTTCATAATGCTTTCACTAGATTGACACTGAATTTTTATTTAAAATACTGGAATTTTGTTATTTCCATATTTTGAAAAAATTACCATCAGGTTATTGAGTTATTTTGTCATGTAGGTGAAAAATTATATGAAATAAAGATTTTAGAAGAAACGCATAAACAAGAAGTCAGTCGTCTACAAAAGCGGTTACAGTGGTATGCTGAAAATCAGGAGCTCCTGGATAAAGATGCAGCTCGTCTCAGAGAGGCCAATGAAGAAACGGAGAAGCTGAAACTAGAGGTGCTTTTGTACATGAACATCCTGCTGTAGTATCACTCCTGTGTAACTGTTGTCACTGCTCCCTTGCTGTTTGTGTGTTCACCTCCTCTACTGGAGATAAATCCAGGGCCTTGCACTTGCTCTGCCACTGCGCTCTATCTCCAGCTGCAAGCCTCTCACTCTTAACATCTGGATTTAGAGGTAGTTTGGGTTTGGCTTGAGTTTTGAGTTTGAGAATAGTCTTTTTACATAGACAGTAGATAAGTGCCAGCTACTTATTACAGCTTATAGGTACCATATGGCCTGACCCACAGGGGCCTACCTCAAGACCTCCTGTGTGCCCCTCAGTGAGCTGACTCCCTGTAGCCACATAGCAACTTCAGATTAACTCCATTTGCTGCCTTGTCCTTGGTTCTTCACATGCCTCACGCCCTCTCTTCCTCCATCAGAACTCAGCTTAAGTTTCTGCATAGAACTTCCTCCTCCACAATCCCCCAGCCCTGCTCTTTGTCTTTTGATCTGTTCTGTTTTGTTGATCATACATACCTGTGACGTAAGCTCGTAAGCTGCGTCACTTGTTGATTTACCTGGTTAGCTAGCTTATCGACCATCTGTTTCTACAAGTGCAAGGACCCAGCTTTTCTTGTGGGCCTGTGTCTCCTGCAGCCAGTGCTGTACCTCAGAGACATTTGGAAAAAAGAAATAGCTCAACCATTGTCTGTTACAGAGTTAATTGGTGAACTAACATTATTTGTCTCCCACCTTTGATGCTTTCTTGTTGTAAATACACTTCTTGCTTTGCCACATTCCTCATTTGTGGACAGATTGAGAAACTGAAAAGTGAGTGTGGGAGCCCAGCTACTCAGCAGAGGTTACGCTCAAAGGAAAGAGCTCTTGATGCCAAAAGAATTCAGGATCTGGAGCGGCAAGTAAGTGTTAAAGGTGAATTTTTAGTGAAGCACTTTTTTTAGTCCATATTCTGACCCAAAAAGAAAAAAAAAAATATAGGTGGGAGGAGAGTACAGGAGGATCCTAGAATTGGGAATATGTTGCTGATCTTAGGAAATGTTACAAAGCAAGCACCCTGCACAAGGAACATCCAGTTACCCAGTCCCCTGGCCATCAGCCTGAGCCTTGCTTATGCTGGGCATCACAAGTATTCATTTCATGGTTGGTGTAGCAAAGAGACTTACTGTGAAGCCTAAGGGGGGAAAAATGTATTGGAGTAGTTTTGGAGGAGTGCAGATAACTAAAGCATTCTGTGTGGCATTTATATTGATAGCTAACTATGAAAGTACAACTTTCCAGCCTTTGATGAGGGAGCAGGACTTGTGCAGTCACCTCCTGGTATTTAAACAGACAGCTATTGTTTCATCACAAGTCTAAGACTATGAGGTCATCACAGAGCTGAGTGGTTTTATGAGGCGGGAAACTAAGTAAAAATTCAACTTTGTTACTTTCCCAGAATCTTTTCTGGTATTAAGAGGTATGACTTAGTAATTTGGTTGAAGGGTCAAGAAAAGGCTAAGACAAAAGTGGCTTGAAGAGCTAGAAATAATTTACCATGAAGGTAGTGTGGGATTGTGCCCTGATTGTCTTCAAGGTTTAAGGTTTATGTTGACAAGTGCAGAAGCAGCTGTCCTTAACTAGAGGGGACAGGGACAAAAGAACAGGTCAATTAGATGATCTCTTTAAGAGAGATCATGTCGAACTGGATATGTGAGAGTAAAGAAATGCTATGTTTAACCTATGTATATGACTTCAAATGGTGGTGTGGGGGAGATGGCTCGGTCATTGTGGTGCTTGCTGTACAAGCATGAAGAACTGAGTTCAGTCATTAGGACCTCCAGAAAACGTCAGGCTTGGTAGCATATGCTTGTCATCCCATCTTTGGAACCCTGGGGTTTATTGGATAGTTAGCCAACACCCCCAGTCTGCAAGGCACAGACTCCAGCGAGAAGTCTATAAAAGTCCTGTCTCATAAGACCACTCCTGAGGAGCAGCACTCATGGCTGACCTCCATAGGCTCCTAAGTCCAAGTGCAGGTGTGTATGCGTATGCTCCCATCCCAGTGGTGCTCCATACTGGCCAGAAACACAGTTTATGAAAGTACCACTTTTTCACTGAACACTTACTGATTATCCATCATCCCTTATATCCTTGTAGAATACTCCTTTGAGAATATTTTTAGTTAGGTTGTTACATGTACATTCTGATGTGCGTACTTGATCTGTCTCCTTGAGCATTTCTTTTGTAATGGTTCCATACCTAAATTCCTGTTTTATCAGAATATATCACTGATATATTCTCTGTGCTGCAGCTATGTTCTGAAATAGATTAGTTGTAAATAAAATATATTTTCTAGATAGAACATAAGTAATAGTAAGGCTAATTGGATGTTCTTTTTAAGATAAAGTTTACATTATCTCTATTCATACTATTAATTTAATGGAATATTTTATAGTTTTTTAGTGAGACCTTTTGAAAATTGGTTTTATATGCCAGTCATTGGTATCACTGACCAAAGAATAACATTTTAACCCAAAATTAAAGTACAAATAGAAGTTAATTTTCCTCCAAAAATTTATTATATATTTTAGGATATGACATCTTTAATATTAAAATAAATTATTTTAACATTAACTTTAAAACTCTGTTAAAATATTTAATCTAATTCTCTTTTTAAAATGTACATATATATGGCATATATATATGCCTACTAATTTACATTGTTAATACCAGAAAAAATACCTTTGAAAGTTGACCAAATGAAGTACATTTATAATATGAATACCATTTGAAGATGGTATGTTCTGAAATTTCTGCTGTGAGTAGTGTGTCTGTAAATAGTATTTTGAACTCTTAACAATTAGGAAAAGAAGTCTTTTTAGACAACTTATAATAATAAAAAAAAAAACAGCATTTATCAGTGTCCACTATATGCTGCTGCTTTGCAAAGACTTACCAAGACAGAAGTCAGTTGATCCTCCCTGTGTGAATCTTGTGAGTAAATATTGTTGTTATCCTTGTTTTACCCATAAAGCAAGAAATTTGGATTGAGAGAACCAAAGTGCCCTAATGTGGAGTATAACCAGACATGCCCCTAACCACTGTACTACAGAGTGTTTCAGATATGTATTTTTGCATGCTCATGAGCTAGGAAAGTGTTTATAAACAAAGACTGTTGGGTTTAACATATAGTTTGCAGGATGCCATGGCCATAATACCACCTTAAAGCAGGTACAAGCCCTGCCACCTGTAATACCAAGCTGCAGTTTCTGTGTGCTGGGGCACAGTGCTCTCTTACAGAAAACTCTTAAAATATGTCACTGGTTTTTAGACTGAGTGAAAATAGTGTTTATGATGACTTTAAGGTCGTTTTTGGGAAGGGAGAGATGACATTGTGGTTCAGAGCAGTTGGTACTTCTTCACAGGACCCAGGTTCAATTTCTAGCACCTACATGATAGCTCACGACAGTCTGTAACTCTAATCTCAGAGGATACAGTACCTTCTTCTGACCCTCATGGCCACTGCATGTGCGCAGTGCTCAGACAAAACACCCAAACACGTAATTTTTTTTTTCCTTTTAAAGGGTATTGTTAAGTGTCTTTGTCAGGGAGGGCCTGATGGCCTAGACAGGCAGAGGCTTAAGAAGCTCTGTGTCAGGAGACAACTTCCTGAACAGAACACCAACAGCACAGGCTCTAAGAGCAACAATCGATAAATGGGACCTCATAAAGCTGAAAAGCTTCTGTAAAGCAAAGGACATAGTCACCAAAACAAAACGACAGCCTACAGACTGGGAAAGGATCTTCACCAACCCTGTATCTGACAGAGGGCTGATATCCAGAATATATAAAGAACTCAAGAAGTTAAAAAGAAGCAAATCAAGCAATCCGATTAAAAAATGGGGTACAGAGCTAAACAGAGAATTCTCAGTAGAGGAATATAGAATGCCAGAGAAACACTTAAAAGAAATGCTCAACGTCCTTAGCCATCAGAGAGATGCAAATCAAAACAACCCCGAGATTTCACCTGACACTCACCGGAATGGCTAAGATCAAAAACTCAAGTGAGAACACATGCTGGAGAGGTTGTGAAGAAAGGGGAACCCTCTTCCACTGCTGGTGGGAATGCAAATTTGTACAACCATTTTGGAAATCAATCTGGCACTTTCTCAGACAATTAGGAATAGTGCTTCCTCAAGATCCAGCTATACAACTCCTAGGCATATATCCAAAAGAGGCACAAGTACACAACAAGGACATTTGCTCAACCACGTTTGTAGCAGCTTTATTCGTAATAGCCAGAACCTGGAAACAACCTAGATGTCCCTCAGTTGAGGAATGGATACAGAAATTGTGGTACTTTTACACAATGGAATACTACTCAGCAATTAAAAACAAGGAAATCATGAAATTTGCAGGCAATGGTGGGACCTAGAAATGATCATCCTGAATGAAGTATCCCAAAAGCAGAAAGACACACACAGTATATACTCACTTATATAGACCTATAAGATAGGATAAATATACTGAAATCTATCTACCTAAAGAAGATAAACAAGAAAGAGGACCCAGGGTACAATGATCAATACTCACTTAGAAAGACAAATGGGATGGACATTGGATGTAGGCGCAAACAAGTAACAGGACAGGAGCCTATCACAGAGGGCCTTTGAAAGACTCTACCTAACAGTGTATCAAAGCAGACATTAAGACTCATAACCAAACCTCCGGCAGAATGCAGGGAATCAAAAAAAAGGGGGGGGGGAGTTAATACGACCTGGAGAGGACAGGAGTTCCACAGGGACCAAATATATCTGGGCACAGGGGTCTTTTATGAGACTGTTTCTCCAAACAAGGACCATGTATGGATGCAACCTAGATCTCAGATGCAGCCCTCAGAAGCTCAGTATCCAAGTGGGTACCCTAATAAGGGGAACAGGGACTGTTTCTGACATGAACTCAATGGCAGGCTCTTTGACATCTCCCCCCACCTCCCCAGGGAGGAGCAGCCCTGCTAGGCCACAGAGGAGGACTTTGCAACCAGTCCTGAAGACACCTGATAAACCAGTATCAGATGTAAAGGAGAAGGTTCTCCCTTATCAGTGGACTTGGAAAGGGGCAGGGAGGAGATGAGGGAGGGAAAGAAGGAGTGGGATACAGCAGGGATACAAAGTTAACAAACTGTAACTAATATTAAAAAAATAACAAATTAAAAAAAAAAAAAGAGAAGCTCTGTGTCTGTGTATACCAGTTCGTTCTCAGCCAGTGCAGTCACAGGAAGGGACCAATGGGAAGAACAGGAGCTCTATACTCCAGATTGCTGTTCTCAATAGATCAGAAGGGCTGAAGTTGTGCTTTGAGTGACTGTAAGATGATCTCTGTGTGTCAAGCAGGTAAGTTAGATGTTAGAGGGTAATCTTTTGAAATGATTGCGCTCCAGTACCTTTGCTTCAGCATAAGATAGGCTGTAAGCATCCTTGATATTATTCTTGTAGCATAATCTAAGCTTAGATATTAAACTGCTTCACCCTTATGCATATTTGTCAATCTATATATGTTTAACACATTTTTATAGGTTAAAGAAATGGAAGGGATTCTGAAGAGACGGTACCCCAACTCTTTACCTGCTTTGATACTGGCTGCCTCGGCAGCTGGTGATTCAGTAGATAGAAGTACAGTAGAGTTTATGGAGAAAAGGATAAAAAAGCTGGAAGCTGAACTAGAGGGCAAAGATGAAGAAGCAAAGAAAAGCCTTCGCACCATGGAACAGCAGTTTCAGAAGATGAAGGTACATGCAGGTAGCAGATATGGAGTGTGGGAACAGGTTGTTTCCAGCCCTCACTTTAAAAAACTACTCTGAGCATCCTTGCCTGCCAGTGTGATTCTATATAAAAGAAGTCTAGGTCCAGCATGTCTTCTTGAGCTCAGCCAGCAATTCCTTTCTATTTCAACAGAGCAATCATCCTTCAAGACCAAATGTAAATGTGCTGTCTCTATGCAGTTTTCCCACCTTCTCCAGGTCTCCCAGCAGGAAGCGCTGCCTTAGCCCCCGCACTGTGTGTGTCTTTATTGTAAGTGTCATAGAACATGGCAGCTGTTGTGTTGTACTCCTCTCCCAGTGCCTAGTATGAAGTTGTAGCTCAGTAAATACTCACAAATGAGCAAACATTGGTACCTGATTCCAAATAGAATAAATTGTTTATTATTTATATTTCATAATGTTTCCTGACTCCACCTTTCAAGTTCTGGGGTTGCAGGCATGTACAACACTTGAAGGCTTTATAGGCACACATTATCTAATATATTTGAATCAATTTTTAAATGATATTGTTACACCCTTCAGAGACTAGGGCCCCAGTACATCTGATTTGCAAACAAAGCTGAAGACTTAAGAATATGTGAGTGAGTATTTGGACAGAGGACTCATGAACACAGTAAAATGCAGGGCTTTGGTAAGTAATGATGTGTTTAACAGGGTTTTCATAGGTCCTGAAATCTTTCCTCAGATTCAATACGAACAACGGCTGGAGGAGCAGGAGCAGCTGCTTGCCTGCAGGACGAAGGAGGTGCCACAGAACCAGCGCAACAGCACGTCTAGGCTTAAGGCCCTCGAGACAGAACTTGGGGACATAAAGGAAGCCCATCAGATCACTGTAAGAAAGCTGGAAGCCGAAATAGATGTTCTCAAACATGAGAATGCTGAGTTAGCACACAAGAAGAATGACAAAGAGGATCAGGACCTCCAGTCTATAGAATTCCAGGTAGAGCAGGCACATGCTAAAGCAAAGCTGGCAAGACTCAATGAAGAACTGGCAGCAAAGGGGAGAGAGATACAAGATCTTACAAAAACTGTGGAGAGGCTCCAGAAGGAGAGGAGAGTGATGCTGTCTAGGCAGAGCTCCAGAAGCAGAGAGGAAACATCACCCAAAAGGCTTAAGAAAGAAGTTTTGCACCCAACTAGAGCAAATGCAAACTCCTTCCCTGAAACCCTGGATGCCAAACTGTACCACCCACACACCTTTACTGATACACATATTTCAGAAGTTTTACAAGAAAACTACAGATTAAGAAATGAGCTAGAGGGATTGACTTCAGAGCGAAATAAGCTGAAGATGGAATCTGAAGCAGCAATAAGCCATTTTGAAAACTCCATGAAAAGGTAAAAGGTTAATTTGTTTATAAATATATGGGAGCAAAAAAGGGGTTTAATTATGAACCATGTTTTTAGTATAATAGCTTCACCTTGAAATATATTCGTAACCACATTTAAAAAGATGCAGTTGATCAATTGCTACTCTGCTTGCCTAGTGTACATGGAACCCTGAGTTTGATCCCCAACACCACAGAAACAGTGTGTGGTGTACCCATGCCATCCTTGCATCAGACACTTGATAAAAGGCAGCAGAACGATCAGATCCAAAGTCATTCTTGGCTGGGTAGCAATTTAGAGGCCAGGATACCAAAAGATAATATATAAAAAAATAATATATTTATATTTATTATATTGTGTGTGTAGTAGGAGTGTGTGAGTATTTTCATTGTATTATTTTCTACTTGAGGAAACACCAGATTCTGATGAGCTGAAACCTCCATGCTAGTCCAGGCCGGGTCTTTGGGGTGACTGGCAAAGAGTCCCCTCTTTTTACCCTAGTTCTCCCCTCAGACTCCCATTCCTGCCCATGCTCGTTAACTATTAATGCCAACTGCCAGTCAGTTTTACCTCCTTTATCGCTTGAGGTCACTGTCTTGAGGACACTGCCTATAAACGTTTGCACCTGTCCCACCTTCCCCCCTGTACTCACAGAGCGTCATACTTTCCCACCCGTCATCCTTTATTTCTCTCCCCATCATCTTACTTTAAAAATAAATAAAATATAAGAATAATAATATTCTTTAAATGTTCTCATAGTCGTATGGTCATTGTGCCCTTTTAGTAACTGCCAACTCCCTTAAATAGCAATACTAAATTTCTCTACCTAGCATCTCAAATCCCATGGCCACTCTCACATTAATCTCTGTGCCTAACTTGCCATGTTTCTTTGTATAACTTGCTCAGTTCTGATTCAAGTTTTGCTTCTTCCACAAAACGTTTCTTGGCACATGCTCAGAAAATTGCTTGCTCCCACCCACAACTCGTACATAAGCATCAGTCATTGCCAGCCTTGTGGTTCCAGAGAACAGATAGAAGACTGCACTGCATTGGCATGCCTGCAAATACATGGTTTCACGCAAGCAGGGTGAGCATGGAAACGGCACCCACAATGCTTAGGGATTGACTGACAGCAGTTTTGGTAATTAAATATAACCATGACAGCTATATGGTGAAACCAGTTTCTCCAGTACTGAATCTAGTTGTTTAAAGATTGGGGGAGAATAGTAATCTTTCCTAGAAATAATATAAAATTTAAGTTTGTCATTTAAGGTTTTATATAGGAATTTTTTTTTATAGGAAAGTTTTTGCCAGTGTTGTTAGTCTGTTTCTCTGATATGAAGAGTTTTGCTAGGCCCAGCTTGAGGCTGTTCTTTACTATAACAGAGTTATATTATGAGTGGTTTGGTTTTAGTCCTTTTCTTAGAACTCTAACTATACTCTTCCTTGAAGAAATAGCGAATAAGCAACTGATGCTTGCCTGTCAGTTTTAAATTGCCATTGTAGGTCTTAGGAGTAGTGACTGTAGCCATTGCCACTTATTTAGCTGCCTGGGATGCACATACTTTGTCACAGACAAACGAATCATCACATATACAATACAAATTAAGTAAATAATTCTTTGTCTGTGAATTACCATAAAATTATTGTATTCTCACAACATGCATGTAGTTTGCATGCCCAAATAGTAGTGTGCTGCCAATAAAAACCATTAAGAATTTTAAAGAGAACTGCTGTGGTTATCCAAACAAGAACCAAGTGAGAAATCGTGAGTGTTCCTGAATTCTGAGTGTACCTTAAAAGACAGAGTGACTAAGCAGTTGCTTGAAACTCATGCAGCTGAACTGAAACCTAGCAGTCCCTTGGAGACTATGACTCCAGATGGAAGGAAGAGTGGAAAGACCAAATTTTAAACTCCATTTGGGCTTAACTTGATCTCAGGCTGAACAGTTTACAGATCTGCACCCTCTGAGCGATCTGTGAGTGTCACTTTTCCTAAACCCACCACTTTTACAAAACCTAGAAAATGCTAGTCTGTGAGTGCTGCAGAGGCTCAGAGCATGCTGTTGGACACAGCTGATGTGCAGCCAGTGGTAACTACTCTTAGGAAGCCAGTGGTGCTTCCTTTCTAGGTTTTGGATAAGAGTCTGGGCTTAATTACAGGTGTGAGATCAACTTTACCTGTTCTCTTGTATTTGTTCCGTAGGGTCAAGGACGACAGTGCAGCACATATTGAGTCCCTGAAGGCATCTCATCAGAGGGAAATAGAGAAACTCCTTTGCCAAAATGCAGTAGAAAATTCCTCTTCCAAAGTAGCTGAACTGAATCGCAAAATCACAACTCAAAAGGTAGCTGGTTTTTCTGAGACTTTAATAGTATATTTTTAATATTTTGACAGAATATTATTTAATCTGGAAATGTTTTAACTAAATTTTTTTTTCAGGTTGATGATACAAATGAAAAGTAATTATTGACCTAACTTTTATACATAGAGAGGGGATACCATTATTATATACTTACCATTTTACCTTAAAACTAGGCCCTATGGATGTTTATGCAGACTTTTGCCTACACTTCTCAGGTCTTCCTCTATGGCTGAGGTATACGTCTAGCTGACCTTTCCTGTTGACCTCCCTCCCTCCCTCCACCCAAGTGGTTATCCTCATGCATTCCTCATGCATTCTCACCTTCATCACGGAACAAATGACTCCAGTCAGTGAGGCACTAGGGAGAAAGTAATGAGCAGAGACACAGGGCTCCTGCCCACAGGGAGTGCAGGCTTCCAACAGCTGGGATGGGAAATGCTGACAACCAGCATTTCCTTCAACTGCTGTCCTCCTCCTTGGATATCAGGTACATGTACTTTGACTATCTGAAAATAGCTGCCATTTTCTGTACTGTTAGGATGAAAATAAAACTTTTATTTAAAACAGTGTATAAAAGAAATATAAACAGTGATGAATGAAGGTACATACATGTTTATTTTGCTTCTCATCCTTCCTAAAGGTTTTTATTTTCATAAGACAAGCTTAAAGGGGAGACTTCAAGGTGTGTCTGCATTCTTCATACCATCTCTCCCACCTGTAACCACTCCCTACCATTATAATTTAAAAAAAAAAAATCCTTCCTTGGGGATATTTAAATAGGAACAGGTTACAAAGTATTTGTAAACCATTGTAAATCATCAGATGCAAAAATGTTGTTAAACTTTTTGAGAAGTGCCCTATTACAAAGAGGTACATGTGGAAGCACCTACCAGATGGTTGTAAGGAATGAAGATAGTTCTCATGATGTGAGAAGTGTTTGAAACGCTTTTCTGGAGTATTTTTCAAAGTAGCACTTAGGTGGCCCTGCAGATCCTCTCCAGGTGTCAGGAGGCAGCTGGCATTGCAGCAGAGTGACTTGCAGGGACAGTGAGAGAGTAGCATTCTAATACCACAGTAACATGCATAATATATTTTCCTGAGATGATAAACGTAACATTGCAAAGTCATGAATTCCGTGGAAGTCAGTGCCATCTGCTCATTAAAACAGTGAAGGTGTAGTGTCCCAGAGAAAAGAGCTGGCCCTTCCACACATTCTTAGAATGTCTGAAGGAAGTCTTTTCATGGATTCCAAATTCCTCTATCTAAAATTAGGAACTTGTCATTTTTAGTTCACAGGTATTATAACGGTTTCTTTACTTTATAACCTTTTAGTTAAGAAAAAAAAAAAAAAAAAGACTAACATCCTTCTTAGTCACAAAGTATGAGGATAATCCTGCCCATTTCCAAAGCTTACACTTTACAGAGGTTTACTTCTAAAGGGTTTTTTCAGTCCCGAGTCAGCTGTCTTATATTATCTACATAGTAGTCAAGGAGGAGCCTTATTATCCAAATTCTCCTCCTACACTGCTCAGTTTCCAAGATCAGAAGTGGTCTGGTGCATTCAGGGTTATATGGCTGCAGACTAACCCTATTTGTCATAATTCACTAGGTACTCATAAAACATTATCAAGGTCAAGTTAATGAGCTGCAGGGTAAACAGGAATCCTTTGCAGTTTCTCAAGTTCGAGAAGAAATCCTACAGAATCAGGTAAGAAATAACCAAAACACTGGACTAAATAACTTTTTTTAGAGATTTCAGTTAGGTTCATCTGTATGTGTAGATTTTTTTTCAAACAAATAAACATATAGACCTAGAAATCTCTGTCATATAAAGAAAAATCATTAGTAACTTAATGTAAAGTCTGCTTTCAGTTTAGAAAGAAAACCCAAATCTGTTTTAATGTAACTTACACAATGAAACCTTAATCTTTCTTCAACCGGTAAGTCTTGTAGCTTTATTATGCATAGTACCGGCTTCCTGAGCAAAGCTGCTAACAGTGTAGCCCCCTAAAATACAAAGTTTCCTTCCCAAAGTGCCTGAGACATCAAAGACCTGTTACTACATGGTGGGTAAGAATGGTGTTTTTGGAGACTTGTTTCAAGTTACTATGGAATGTAGCGGATTCCAGTCAGACCTACAGATGCAGTCCCAGCTATTCCTGGGAGGACTTTGGCAGCACCAACCAAGCAACAAAGATTGAGAAGCCAAAGGCCCACAGTAGGCCCAAAGCCAGCACACAGAGTGGTGCTTGTTGGTCTACCCTCTAGTAAACTGTCTGACACAAGCCAACATTTATGTCCTTCTAGCTGGCAAAAACCAGTGTTCTCACTAGTCACAAAAGCCATGCTGTTAGAACATGAGGAAAAAAAAAACAAAAACGGAGAAATGTATCCATTTGTAAAAATTGTTAACTGCCCAGTCCTTTACCCTGACTTGAGCAGCAAGGCTTATAAAACCTGGTATGTGCTCTACCTATTCCAGCAGATGGCAAAAAAGACAACAAAAACACAAGATCCACAGCCAGTAACCACATGCAACTAATTCCGTGAGAATCAGTCATTAAAGAACTGAGTTTTACCTTTTGTATTTCTCCTGACAATCAGGATTTGTAAAGGAAGGGACAAGGAAAGACTTTACCTTCTTCCCTCATCTGGGAAAGACATGTGGCTCATTCCTGTAATCTTAACACTCTGTAAAACTGAGGCACAAGTTTGAGGCCAGCCCAGGCTACACAGTGAGACCTTGTTTCAAAAAGCCAGCGAGGAAAAGAGGGAGAGGGGGAAATGGCTTCAGTGATAATTCTTTCGTTAAACTGGCTGCTGCCACCCTACCTAAGACACCATCCATAAGATTCCAGGAAGAATTGGGTTTCTCAGAAAGCCCTGTCAAAGTCTCTAGAAACTGTCAAGGAAAATAATGTTCCTCCGCTCTGTGGGTTCTTAGTTGATACAGGCTACTGTAACAAACAACAGATTAATGAAATTCAAGAAAAGCCAACAAGTTGATTGGCACACACAGTCCTCACCAAGCAGAAGAAAACTCAGTGGCAAAGGACTATGCAGTGGCTTAGAGCTCTGCCCTCAGCAAGTAAACCTACGTGCATACAGCCAGACAGCAAAAGCCACTGAGTGCCGAAAGTAGCAAACTGTGGGAAAGAATAAATGGGAGAAAACTTTCCGAGTTAGGTTTGATTTCAGACTCACCTGGTGTCATCTTCACTGGGCTAATAGGAGCCGAGCAGATGCCAGTAAATGACTCTGTATCCTTCCTTAGACAAAAAGCGTTCACAGAAAACTTTCTGTTTGCTGTGTTGTAGTTATCATCCACAGAAAAACATGTCAAAGAGGCATGTTTTAGGATGTGGCTTCCTGTAACACTGACAGTCATGCTATATCATCAGCTGCAATATCATTCGACAATGCTCATTGGCCTAAGGTCCCTTTGATTCTAAAAAGTTTAAAATATCTATAGATATATAGATATACACATACATACATACGTGTGTATGTATGCATTTCAGTGTTCAGGATGCACACAGAATGTTCTTAGCCATAATCATTAAGCTTATAGGATCTCACAGAATTGAACTAAAGCTGTTAGAACAAGCAATGACAGGAAATACATGTTCATGTTTGCAGGGCCAAAAAAACAAGATCAGTTTTAACCAAGTTATCTTCTTGTTAATTTATGGACACAGTGATTAAGGCAGTTCTTTTCAGAGTAGCCAAGATATTTGAAAATAGGATACATTTTTTACAGTTTTATGCTATTATAAAAGCATCCTAAGGCTTGATAATTAATCAAAACCCATTGTTAATTCAGATATCCTAGAACATCATGCCAGTAGCTAATGGGGCCTTTATAATGCATCATCCTAAGGGAAGAAGGACAGGAGAGGGCCAAGCTTGCTTTTCTAACAGCCTATTTCCAGAGTAACTCACCTGCTCCTCCAGTAACAACTTCAGTCCATTCTACATGAATGGACTAGGACACATTGAACGCTAAACAGCTACAGTGTGTATTGAAGCCGTGTCCTGTTAAAACTTCATAAGCTACTGCCTGCTGAATAGAGATATGCTTTGAGTCTGTATACCTGCTTCTTAATATGGAGTTCATTTACAGGAGCTGCAGTAGCATTGGCTAATATAGGCCTACCATTGATGAAGACCTGTTGCTCCTTAGCCTTGTATATACTGAGGCATTCCATTTCAATTTGAAGGGAAAATTAACTGCTCCCACCGCTGAACAACAAGAACAGTTTCTATTTCCTGCAGCCGAACTGCTGCATGATAAACTGGGCAGTGACAGAGCTCAGCTTCTCTGAGGAGTCATAGTCCTGTGAGCTATTGCTCAGCATCTGAAAGCAGCTGATTGGTGGCTTTTACTTCGTATTCTAGTTGCCCCGGGAAGGATTAAATCCTGTTACTTTGCAGGGCCACACATGAAGGTGCACTATACATTTTTAAAGAGTGGTTAAACCTGTCACATCTTTTGCTAACTTGTAAAAATATTTTTAAGGGCCATCAGAAAGCTGTGACTTGGAAGACTTCAGAATATAGTTAAAGCAAATATCCTCAGTGTCATTGGGAATTTGCCTCTCTCACTTAGGGCACTAATGCCAGGGTCTGAAAGGGCTTTTCAATAGATAGCCTGTATGTCCCGAGCCTTTTTGTCTAAACCATTTTCAAACCACAAAGCTCTTTAAAAATCTGCTGCTGCAAAGGGGTGCAGACCTTTTAGTCAACCTTTACTGTATCATCAGTCAGTCTCGTGAGGCACACATTAGCTCTTGTCTCGTAACAAAAAAAGCTCATCATTTATGAGTTAGCAGTCATAAATCATCAGTGGTACTACTCAAGTCTTCATTTATTTCCTTGCACCCTGGAGTTGGAAAAAGGATTCAAATCTATCCAGAAATCCTAACGCCAGATGAGGGATTGATTACTACCCTATGCAGTTAGTGTATGTGCTTCACTGATTACAAATGTCACCATGGAGAAAAAAAATTACAGTCACTTCATAGAAACCAAGCTGAACATGGAGGTGCATGCTTGTAATCCCTCATAGAAACCACACTGGGGGTAGTGATGTGTTAGTGTCATCCCAGATCCTCCACCTGAGCTGCCAACCTCCAGGTTGGCCTGCACTGCTGCATTTAAGGTCCTGAGCAGTTGACTAGGATGCTTAGAGCAGTATGAAGGCCACACATCATAGATCATAGGAAACAGAAAGAAAGTTAGAGGCCAGAATCCCACAATCCTATGACAAGGCTTGACCTCCCAGTAACCTAAAGACTTGTTACAAGATCCCATCTATAGAGATACCATACTTAGAAAATGGGCATCAAAGAACCAGATGACAAAGGGAAACTTTATTTCAAGAAGAGGGATTCGGGAAAGATCTAGACCAGGGAGGAAGTAAGTGGCATCCTAAACAGTTTTAGAGTTGGGAAGCAACCTAGAGAACAAAGAAAAACTACAAACTTACGCCTGGCTTCCTGGCCATGAGGGGTTTGCCAAGAAAAGACAAATGAGAAAACACCAGTGAGCTCCATGATAGCAGCAGACCAGCAGTCGTCGCTAGATGCCCGTAGTCTTTACAAGCAGTAAATCTTCTTTGGACAGCCGGCCACAAATAACTGTTGTACTCTCACTGAGTGCCCCTTCAACTCAAGAGACCAACATGCTACATCAGCCACACTTAGATTCCATCCTGCCGTAGGGGCTAGCAGATGAAGCCTGGTGCCTGCACCTGCTTCCTAGGGAAGAGCACAGGCTTCTCCATGCCCTGCAGATCCATGACAGAGGCTACCACATGGGAACTAGAAGCGTTCTTCTCCATAATCCATGGCCTCATAGCCTTGGTATTGCTGCTTATAATTCAGAAATTCCTGATCCTCGGGAATTGAGGAAGGTTCCACCTGTGCCCCACAGCTTCTGGAATGCTACTACCAAAGTCCAACACTCATTACCAAAACTAGGGAGAATCTCCGTAATAACTGCAGCCCACAGGTGACGCTGATGGTACAGTTACACTATCACCTGAAGCTGCCCATCACCCAGAAGTTTCCATTCCTCATCTTACAATTCTAAGAATATAGGCATTACTAACCCAAACCTCAACACCACCAGCACTCACCCCACAGCTGTTGATGCAGAAAGGTCCCATCACCATCCAAGCCTGTCCTCTGGACCTTACAACATGCCCATCTGTGTTCCATTTATTAGGCATGTGACTTAACAACACAAATACCAGCCCTACTAGCACTTTTCCCCATGTGACCTGAGAACATCCCCATCCATGTTGTGCAGCTCCAGGACCAAAAACACAGACACAAACCCTCACAGAACTTAGAACCACTTTCATGAATCTGCAGTCTAGACTGTGGAAGTGCTCTCGGACAATGCTGACACAGTCACTGCCAAGGAATCACAGAGACTGAACTTAAAGCTCATCCACAACAGAAACCAAATCACCCTACTGAAAGCCCCTATCATATCTAACTGGAGGAAAAAGAGAAAAAAAGTTTCCCTATAAAAGCTACTTCCAAAAATTGGGAGAAACAACTACAATAGGTACAGAGGCATCATATTGGAACGTAAGAGACATGAAATAGTATACCGCTAAAGAAACATAAATCTCCAAAAGTCCCATTTTGAAGTAAATTTATTAAAATGCCTGAAAAATAATTCAAACTATTGATCCTAAGGAAAGTCATGAAAGGGAATATAAGAAACCAGACAAAGAAATGAAAACAATTCAAATATGAATGAAAATGTCCCCAAAGAAACAGATTGTAAATGAAAGAGGAGAACGTCTGTGAAGCCAATGGAACGCCATTAAGTGGACCAAGGTTTGCATAGTGGGAGTTGCAGAAGAAAAAGGCATGGACATTAAAAGTCCATTTGATAAAATACACAGCTATTTCCCAGATTTTCTAGGAGAATGGAAATTCCGATATAAGAAGCTCAAAGGACCCTCAGCTAGATTCAGCAGCAGCAGAGACCTTCACTGGGCACATTACAATGCCTGTATTAAAAGTGTGAATGGTAGGCTCTTTGCCCTCCCCACCCACCATGGGAGGAGCAGCCTAGTGGGGATACAGAGGAGAACATTGCAGCCAGTCCTGATGAGACCTGATAGGCTAGGGTCAGAGGGAAGGGGAGGAGGATCTCCCCTATCAGTAGACTTAGTGAGGGGCAGGGAGGAGATGAGGGAAGGAAGGTGGGACTGGAAGGGAATGAGGGAGGGGGCTACAGCTGGGATACAAAGTGAATAAACTGTAATTAATATAAAAAATAAAAATTTAATAAAAAAAAGTACGAAACAGGAAGTTCTAAGAGAGACCAAGAGATAGAGTCCATATTTCTAGAAGGTGAACTCTTATAGGCATAAAGAGAACAGGATTGTGTATTGAATTTGCTGAAAGAAAAAAAAAACAGCTAAAAACACTATTCTTAACAAAACTACCCTTTAGAATGAAAAAATAATAATGTTTTTTTTCTTAGATAAGCAGAAACTTGAGGGGATTCACCACCAACAAAACAGGCCTACAAGAAATGAGTAATTTCTACTCTAAAATGAAAAGAATAATAGTGACTATCATGAAAACACACGTTTACAAAACTTACCAGGAAAGCAGATCCCTAAAAGAGAAACAGACCAAACCATAAAGTTAAGTGATAAGAGAGGTAGAACAGAATACATAAAACAGTTAACAAAATGACAGGAGAAAGTTGATACCTGTAATTAATAATCTTGACTGTAAATGGATTTGATTCAAAAAGGACTGGGAAATGATATGCAAATGAAAACTAAGAGCAAGCAAGATGAGCTGTGCTTTATCATAAAGCAGACCTCGAATCAGAAACTAGAGAGACCAAGGGGTCACTGTATAGTATATACTAGACTGATTTAGGCAGACACAAGAGTTGGATCAGTACCACTGAAGTACCAAAAAAAAAAAAAAAAAAAAAAAAAAAAAAAAGTATCAGCTCCAAAGGGATAGACTGCACTGCAGCAATGGTTGGGGGCTCCCAGCACTGACAAACCTCCTAGGCAGAAGACCAGCAAAGAAACATGAACTGAAACACTCTAGCTAAGTGTAACCAGTCCACAGCTCATTTCATCCAAAAACAACATTCTCCAAGGTAAATCATGCATTAGGCCACAGTCAAGTCTCAGTATTTTCAAAAATTATAATCTTATTGTATCTCTTAGACAACAGAGAAGATAAAAGCTATGTCAACAAAAAGATCAGTGGAAAACTTGCAAAATGTGGAAACTGAATAGCATGTTCCCAAATGGCACATTGGAAATTAAGGTTAAAGCAGAAATCAAAACATCAGTCTGGAAACATGCAAGTTGAAAGGACAGCCTGAAAGTCTGGGGGCACCACAAGAGCACTGGGAGGCTTGTATAGCAGTAAGTGTGTGCATCAGAGAGAAACACGCAAAACCCAATACAAAAGATCCCTGAAGTGCTTCCTTGGAAACACAAAACAGACAAGCATTTAATTAAACTAGCCAAGAAAAAGGGAGATGTTTTTATTGCTCTAACTCGATTATAATGGATCATTAGAAATAGTTATGCATAATTATATGGAAAACTAGTAAGCCCAAAAGAAATGGATAAAACTCTTACCTACAAACATACTAAAATCAAATCAAGAAGTATAAAATATAAGTAAAACACCAAAAAATTAGTACAATTGGAGCAGTAATTTAGTCTACGATCTAAAAATCCAGAACCTAATGACTGTGGATTTCTACAAAACTTTATTTAAAAAAAAAAAATTACAGTTCTTAAAATAATCCAAGAAATTGAAATGACAAGAACTCTTAAAATCATTAGGCCACCAATCCCATGATACTAAAACCAAAGATAACAAAATATGAGAACTACAGACCAGTATCTCCAATGAATGTAGATGTGAAATTCTCAACAGAATGCTAGCAAGCTGAGCTCAAGAGCACATCACCTGCTCATACATAGTGATCAATTGAATACCTGTCAGGCATGCAAGAAGGGATTAGCTTGGTGTGAAACCATAAATATGATTAAGACGCCTCATAGAATGAACGTGTTTCCTCTAAAGTCTGGCACAACAAAACAAAAAGAGATAGCCACTGTCACCACTCTTATCTAATAATAATATCCTGGCAAAAGAAAGAGAAGGTATCCAGATTGAAAAGGAAAAAAGTATAAACGATCCATATTTGCAAGTGATGTAATGAATGTTACTGTTAAAATGATTTGAAAGAATTGCAGGATATAAAACTCAACATATGGGGTTTGGATCAATGGCTCAGCACTTAAAAGCACTGTCTGTTCATCCAGACCTGAGTTCAAATCCCTGCACCGACATGGTAGTTCACAACCATCTGTAACTCCACATCCAGTGAAACAATCTGGACAAAGCATATTTTACTGAAGTAAAATAACTATCAACTATTAATATAACTGAGATTTCTGTTGATATTTTTATGCCTACTGAGCATGAATTAAATATATTGTATGCTAATATTAGTTGTTATAAATTAGAAGGTGTAAAAATCACCTATAGTCCCACTACCCCCATTTTGCTACACCCTTTCCTATTCACACAGGGTACAAGCAGTGTGCGGGTACAGTCACTGGTGTATAGATGGGTATGATTTTCAGAAGCTTCAATGTCTGTCTTTTTTCCCTAACAGTATATTTAAATAGATTTTTCTGTTGGCATGTAGCTCCATTGTCTGCTTCTTAAACTATTTAACAAGACTGACAATGGTAAAAACAAGTATATATTGTTTGGTCTGAATGGACTATGCTAAGTACATGAACTAATTCTTTAATTCTAATCATAATGGAGGAGTGGGTACTGTTTTTGTTGTTGTTTTGTTTTGTTTTGTTTTTCATTATAATGATGAAATCTATGCCAAGAATATGAAACAACTTCACCATTGCTACTAGACAGCATAAGAGAAAAAAATGTTAGGCTTGAGTCTATTAGTAAAATCTATGAGTCTTTTAGTAAAAATCTAGGTCCTAGAAATACTGCATTTTGTGGATCAGAGAGTAAACAAGTAGAAATGTCATTAGCTGAGAGTATCTAGAGTATGCTCAGTACTGTTGTCCATTGACTGTGACTCAAGTCAGGAGCATCTGCCATAGGAACTCTGCCGTCCACCTCTTAGGAGTTGCCCCACCCTACAGATCCTTGGCTGTGCTAGATTTCTCATCTATTTGTTGACTTCAAAAGACCAGGAATGGGCTTACAGGTATTGCATAAGATAGCAATGACTTAGAATGACAAAATCATTTTCCAACCATAAAAAGTTGAAAGTGGTTACGCTGGGTTACATGAAGCCCCTAACATACTCCCAAAATTAGGTTTACAGAAATTGAATATTTGACATCCATTCTGTATATAATTATGACTCCCCTCAGCTTTTTGTTCCGTCATAATGCCTGGGATATTTTTTTCTAAATAATTTTTAGTAGTCATTGTACATTTTTGAGACAGGCTTTCTCTGTGTAGCCTTTGCTGTTCTGGACTTACTTTGTAAACTAGGCTGGCCTCAAACTCAAGCAATCCACCTGCCTCTGCCTCCCCAGTGCTGGGATTAAAGGCATGTGCCACCATGCCCAGCTAGTGTACACCATTTGTATGCCCAGCAGTTAGCCTCTCCCTAACCTTCTGCAGACCACCCCAGCTCAAGACAGCATGTTTCTGTGGTGACTGGGATGCCATTGGGATGTTTCTCATTTAAAATACTTTTACTGGCCCTGATCTAATAATGCTTTTCTATTCATTTTCCCCTATCTACTTTAGGTGAGATTGAGGGAATAGTATTATTTTTATTAGATAATGGGTATTTTATATAAGATGTGATTGAATGTGTCAATTATCCATCTTCATTTTCTTATTATTGCCTTAGCTATAGCAATTAGTGAAGTCAGATCTCTGATAGAACATAGAAAAAAATGTATTTAATTGCTTCACTGTGCGTAATGTAAAAATCTCTCAAACCCCCTGCATTTTATTCCTAATGCTATAAAAATAGCTCCATTTTCTCTGTGGTGAGAAAACAGAGGTCCTGCAATGACTAACTCATGAGGGCAAGTACTGTGCCTTTTATCTGTCTACATCCTGGGATCCCAAAAGAACAGTCAGCCAAAACACATACACAACACACCCCACTGCCCCTACTTAATTCTCCTCTGGCAAGCAGTTATTTATCTGTGGAGCAAATTACCAACATTATAAAGTGGTATAAGGTTCATCAGAGAATTACAAATAAAATTACTGAGTTCTTCCCGTGTATTGAACATAGTGCAGCTGCCTGATTGAGCTGTACTTCTAATCACAAAGCAGTTACTAATACCTTGAAGCTGAAGAAAGCGCCCAACTCAGTGGAGCCCCCTTACAGTCATGGGAGGAATGTAGTCCAGACGGTCAGAGCACGAGATCACCTCAGCTAGAGTGACTCTTTACTTTTTGTACATGAGGATGGAAGCTATCCATCCATCATAAGTTCTAGAGGAATCCAAGGTGCCACTTGAGAAATCTTAAACAAATATTCTTGATTTTCAAGATTTATTTACTTGAAAATAATTGTGTTCTTGGGGTTGTGATTTTTCAATCATTACTTCAATTTTAGATTACAAAACTCTTGGAAGAATTGAAAGAAGCCAAAGAAAATCACACCCCAGAGATGAAACACTTCATGGGCTTGGAAAGGAAGATCATGCAGATGGAAATGAGGCACAAGCAGCGAGAACAGGAACTCCAGCAGGTGAGGCCGTGTGTGCGCTGTGCCACGCTTTACTCTATGACCGCTCGTGGCTGTAGCTACTACAGCCTTACCGAAAGCTTCCTCAAGTGTTTTAGTATCTATTTGTGTATTTTATGTATATAGATGTTTTGCCTGTGTGTGTATGTCTGCACTCCAGAAAAGACATCGGATCCCATGGGACTACAGTTATAGATAGTTTGAGCATGTGCTGGGAATTGAACTCAGAACCTCCAGAAGAGCAGTCAGTGCTCTTAACTACTGAGCCACCTCCCCAGCTCCCCACTCTGATTATCTTTTAAACTCATTAAAAATATAGCTTTGAATAGAAAATGAGACTTTAAATCTCAAATACTGTAATACTGATTCTTTATATTTTAAGAGAGAAAACATATATAATGTCCTTAATCACTGATGGGTACCTAATAGTTCTTATAGGTTTACATTTATTTTCCTGGGAGTAATATTCCATTTTTAAATCATGCCAAATACTTATAAAATTTGGGTTGGTGAGATGGCTCACCAGTTAAGAGCACTGGCTGTTCTGTTCTTCCAGAGGTCCTGAATTCAATTCCCAGCAAATACAGAGTGGCTCACAACCATCTATAAAGGGATCTGATGCTCTCTTCTGGGACGCAAGTATACATGCAGACAGAGCACACATACATTTATATAAATAAATAAATGCATATATATATATACATACATTAAATAATTTTAAATGTTTAAAAATAGCTTTCAAATATTTATAAAATTTATATTAAAAGATGACTGTTGATGTATCACAGTCAACACTAGGAGCAGGCTACCTGCATTTAAAGATAGAGGATGTGATGTTTGGTGCCAATGCTCAGCTCTACTCTGCAGCACTTAGCCTGCCCAAGCTGTCATGACAGAAGTCTCCTAGATTAGGTGATCAGAACAAGCGGAGATGTTTTGGAGGCTACAGGTCAGGACTTCTGGCTGATTTGGTTTCTACTGAGGCTGTCTTCCTGGCAGCTTCATTCTTGACCAGCCTTTCCTGGAGGCAAGAAGGCTCCCTGATGTGTCTTCTTTGGAGGGCACCAATCCTATCAGCTCAGGGCCCCATCACCACAACCTAATTTAACTTACTCCCTCACTGGAAATATAGCCACGCCAAGGGTTAGAGTTACAACATGGGATTTTGGGGGGTGATGGAAGAGTCATTTCATAACAGATAGTGAGAAACTTACGTAAACCTTTGAAGACAAAAAGACACATTAAGCTTTATGGTTGATCTGAGTTTTCCACCAAGAAGCCCTGGGTATACCTACTCAGTATTGTCCTGCTCTTTAAAACTGTCACAATACTGTCCTCATTTCCACTATGAGTTGGAACAATAATGTGAAGTTTTCGTGTTTTCAGATAATACAGCAAACACGCCAAGTAGTAGAAAGTGAGCAAAATAAGGAAGTTGAGAAATGGAAGCGACTTGCGCAGTTAAAGAATCGGGAGCTGGACAAGTTCCGCATGGAGCTGGACTCCATACTGGACGTTCTGCGGGAGCTGCACCGGCAGGGCGTAGTTGTGCCAGTTCCCATTGCAGATGAAGTGAATACAGCAGAGTTTTAGTCGGACTTGGATCTGAGTGACCTCACTGGAGGACAGATGAAAACGTGCCACTGTCAGGAAACAAATCCACCACACAGCCATGCGTGAACACCACCAGAGTAACATGTCAGAATAAACTGCCCTGAACCAACAAGGAAAGAACATACAGCATGTTGTATTGTACGGAGAACCATTAACTAATCACATTTGAGATCATTTATGAGCAGGTCCCGTAATGTCAGAAGACCACGACCAGCAAAGTTTACTGCAAAAGGGCTGCTTTCCAGGCTACAGGGAAGAGAAGTGCCCATCCTCAGCCAGTTTATAGGTTAAATGTACTCTTCATTTTCTCTGTGACAGAAAATCAGCTGTTTCTAATGAAACAGGTAGATGAGGTGAATGTCACGCTGGGGACAATCTCGCCAGCTGAGCTGTAGAGCATCCTCAGTAATGGAGATGACAGTTGTAACTTCTGTACGGGGAAACAGCAAGTTCTCTTGGGCTTTTGGACCTGACAAGTAACAGTCAGTTTGATGTGTCCCTTACTGTAGGCCAGGTCTAGTAGACGACAGTCCTAATTTTTGGCAGCTCTAAAGTTACAAAGAGTATAAAAAGTTTTACCTTTTCTATTGAAAAAAAGAGTATTATGTCCATTAGAAAAAATAAAAGTTTGCTTAAAAATAGCTAGTTTATTTTACAATCCCGTTTTTAAAAGCAGATCAGAAATGTTTAAGTCAAAGCTGTAGCCAGTTTGTCTTCAAGTGCCTCTCCCAGTGTGCCTTACGGTCCCTTGCTGGAGATCAAGCCGTCCATAGAAACACATGGTGTCTGTCCTGGGTGCTCCTGCTCACCCAGGTGGAAGAGGCAGGTGACAGGAGGACACCTGGCTGCCCTTAGTAGCTCCAGGCACTGGGATAAGAGCTGCATGGTGAATTTTAAATCAGTGTAAAATGTGAAACGGAACTGGGGATATATTTTTACACTTTAGAGTCTATTCTACAGTAATAGCACATCCTGATTTGGACCACATCCCACCTGCCAGCAAATTCTGAGGCAGTGCTTGCAAAGTAGAATGTTTTGGAAGGGGTAGGTGGGCAAGTCTTAGTGGACTCATGAGCAAAGGTTGTCAAGTACAGCATCTGTTAAATATAAGTGTGATGATTGTCTTAATGCCAACATCTTGTATTTTCTTTCTGAAAGGGGAGTAAAAACATTATTTTCAATCTTTTCATGTATAACAAAGTTATAATACAAATAATTATATTTCAAAGTTATAATACAAATAATTTATTTTATTATTTAGATGTTTGTGTTTGTCAGTACACTTGTCTCTAAGTACATAGTTTCCTACCCCTCTGTCCTTTGGACTGATTATGTATATGAGCCATTCAAAGTACAAAGCTCGTTTTAAAATACAAGGTAAACTTGCAGAAAAGGTTGGCATTGACTAGGTTAAGCCAAGTCCAAACGCATTATGTCTGCATCTGTACATATGCCCTGCACAAACATTTGCCTGGGAGTGGGGATTAGCATATCCAGGTGCTGTTGCAACCCTGCCAGCCTCATCAGTTTAAACGTTCTCACCTTGTGAGGTGAGGCTGCCACGGCTGCTGAGAGAATGCAGGAGAGGGTGGCACGCATGCCCTAACAAACGGCTCTTAATGAAGTGATGGGTTCAAAGGGTCCTATTCACTTACTGGATGTTCCTTAGAAGTCTGATTCTTTTGTTGAGTGGAGGCATCTTAGTTTCATTGATGCTGATGTGTTTGGATACCCAGATAGCCGAAGCGGGGAGGTACTAAGAGCATGGAACACAGTGTTCAGTAACAGTAGCAGTGTGGACGTGCTGCTTGGGAAAGAATATGATCCTACAGTTTGCGACAGCATCCAGGGAGGGCTCTGAAGGAGCTGGGGGTGTGGACCTGCTAAAGTCCAGCGAGCTCTTCCCGAGGGAATCTGGCCCAGAGCACTGTATATTGCAGGCAAGTACCCTTTTGTTTTGTTTTGAGACAGTCTTGCTGCATGGTTCAGTTTTAATTCAAACTTGAGATCATCCTGCCTCCGTCTCCTCAGTGCTAGGACTCTGTATATACGGGCCTCTGAAGAATGCTTTTTGTTTCCAGTGGTGCTGGCACTGGTGGTGGTGGTGGTGTTTTAGTTTTGAGACAGGAGCTTATCTAGTCCAGTGCTGGGATTTGAACCTAGGGCTTTGCGCATGCTAGCGTCGTTCTGTTGACTGAGCTACAGCCCCAACCTGATGAGCTCTTCATTCAGAAGTGTGTTGGCAGTAACAGCCTTCCACCAGAGGGATTGGCACTCACTGACTGAACCATTAAGAGCATCTCCTGAGTGAGGTCTCCTAGGTAAGGCAGGTGATTGTCGCCATTGTCAGGTAAGCCAGACAATGCCGGTTTGCCCTGAGGCCAAGAGCCACCAACCCTGTTGCTTCTACACCTATAACTGGACTTTGGTCCCAGCATGCTCCCGAGGGTGAGATATAATCTGTAACCCACAGAAGGTGTGGGTTTTCTAATTTATACAGGTAGAATCCAAGGGATTGGTGTTAAAAAAAAAAAAAACTCATGAAGGAAAATTACGATAGATCAGACCTAACATTGATATGCACCCACAAAAGCGGAGATTCTAAATAAAGAGTTCATCGGGTGGGGATGTGGCTCAGTCAACAGAGTACTTGTGTAGCATGTGCAAAACCCTGGTTCAAATCCCAGCACTGGACTAGATGAGAGCCTGTCTCAAAACTGAATTTTGCATTTCAAGGAGTTAGTAAGTGTTCCTAACAGTTTGTTTGACTGAAGCAGGCAAATTGGAGGCATTTAAGGGGAAAAAATGTCACCATGTTTTGTCGCTTACCTATTAATATACTGCAAGGGTCCAGGAGGCCACTGTGCCCGCCTGCATGTATAGGTGGGCTCTGTACTGTCTCAGGTTTTTTTGAAACAGCTTCCTGGGGACACTGTTTTGTCATCCTGATGTCTGACAGGCTCATTTGGATTAATTCCAGAGGGAGGGACAATGTACATCTTTGCTCTTTATCAAACAAAAACAAAAAAACCTTCTCTTCAATAGTAATAATAATCACCCATTCAGAGCTTGAGAAACAATTCAGATCCCATTCTGCTGACCAAAAGTAATATTAACAGGATGTGTTAGAGAGAATTAAAGAAATGAATATGAATATGAATATATAAGAAGAGTGATGTTTTGCCAGGAGTTAAGAGACTTCTAATGGGCCTCAGCAAAGCCCTTGTGGCCTCCACCTTCCTTCTCCATGGTATTTTAAACTTTAAGACGTGGCATCGTGATTCTTCTCTGTCTGTTAGTATTGCAAATTAGAAGAAGCAGTTATAGTCCTTGCCTCTCTCTTGGCCCATCACTTGCAAAACCGATGTGTTGCCCAGGACATGGGCGTGAGGGCCCTGGCACTGATTAGGTCATCCTGGATGACCTTCAAAATCTGTCTTCCTAATGATTTCATGACTCCTAAGAGAAAACTCACTGCCAAAGTGGCTTCAGCACAATGACTACTCTGCCATGGTGTTTTATAAAATTAAGTACATTTATATATATGTGTTTTTTTGTTGTTTGTTTGGAAACAGCATCTGGCTCTGTGACCCAGGATGGCCTTGAACTCCTGGCATTCCTCTCAGTATCCTAAGTGCTGGGAATACAGGCGTGCCATTCTGGATTTAAAATCAAAATGTTCTAGGATCTTTCAAATCATCAACTGAGATTCGATTTAGGATGAAATTCTTGGGGTGCTTCTTCTCTTCTGACAAATCATAAATCAGCCTTTAAGTAGTCGTGACGCTTTCCTAAGGATTAGTGGCATGAAGCAAGTAAGTAGGATTCTCAGAATTTCACCAGAAGTAGTGAGAGTAGAAAGAAAGATGAACAAAACAGAGGTATTCACAAGTGACCTCAGCTTTACATGGCTCACAGGAAAAATCATTACCCGGGTGTCACAGGTCACAGAGCATGGTGAGAAGGCCGGTCCTCTCATGTAACCTCATGCAGTTGACTCTAGTCAGCTCCACAAAGGCCTCAACACATTCTTGTGCTACATTCACTGGGAAAAATGACCAAAATTCCAGACAGCAGCAGGCTGTTAGGGGCAGGGACATACCTGTAGCTGCTCCCAATGGAGGGCCAGAATTGGGCTAGGAAGGAATATAGTAGTAGCTCAGAGGCAGGAACCACCAAGTTAGCTCCTAGGCGAGAGCTAAGACATAAACTATAGCCTTAAAACCTAATGGAATTGCTGCCCTTGGTTTTTTAAATGTATTGGGACCTGTGACCCGTGAACAGAAGTTTATACCCTGTATTTTAGACTTGTAACACCAAGAAACCAAAAATATTTTCTAGTTTTACAGGTCTGTAGCTGGAGATGACTTTTTACCCAGGACTTACTAACACCTGGTATGGATGGTTAAAATAATGACAATATGTAGCTTGCCGTTGATATTGTAACATGTTGAAACTCTAGCATTTTGAGATAACTATATTCTGCATGGAGGATGAGCTGGACCAAGAAAACAGGAAAGGCTACTGACTTTTAACATGCCCACATTCTCTGGAAAACTAATCCTGTGTTCCCTTTCAAGACAGAAGGGACCCTGGCAGATGAGATTTGAAAAAAAAAAAAAAAAAAGACGAGACTTGAAATGGGTTATCCTTGGTTATCCAGTGTAACTCCAGATTCCTTGTAAGGACATAGAGCAATAAGAGATAGAAAAGAGGAGGTCACAGTGCCATCGGGTCATGATCCAAGGATTAAGCTGCCTGTGGAAACTGACAAAGACAAAATAATGGATGCTTTCCTCAGAGCCTCCTATATTAGCTTTCTCTGACTGTGCAAAAATGCCTGAAAAAAAAAAAGAAAATGTATTTTGGCTCATGGTTTCAGAGGCCTCAAACCATAGTTATTTGGTCCATCTTTTCTGGGCCTGTGGCAGCACATCATGACAGCAAAGAGTATGGTGGAGGAGGCTGCTCACCTCAGGGTGGCCAGGGCACGGAAGGGCCAGCAACAAGATTTCCAACGCCCACCAACAACTAGGTTCTCTACCTCGTATGTTTCTGTTACCTCCATTAGTCCATTAAACTAGGAAGCTGTTAACTAATCCATAATGAGCTCGTAGTCCTAGTGAGCCAATCATATCGTAGAATCCCACATCTGGTCATTACTGTGCTGGGGACCAAGTCCTCAACCCATGAACCCTTGGAGGACATTCCAAGTCCAAACCACAGCTTTTCTAGATGGAACTCAACCACAATAATACTGTTTTTAGCTGTCTGGGACAGGTTATGGACTTGTGCACTATGGTGTTAAGGAAATAAGTTTGTGTTGCTTTAAGAAACTGCCCTAATTTACTATAACAGCAATGGAAAATTAACTCAGAACAAACATTTTTGTGATGCACCTGCAGCCTGCTGGGCTAAAATGAAGCTCTTGGTCTTGCTCAGAAATCTTGTATCTGCTGGAAACATCCATGATACTGAGAGAGCCTAACCTGCTAACTTGTAAGAGCTTGTGAAGTGTTAGGTTTTTTGTGGTTCTTAACAGTATTTAAAATTATATATTCGGGAACATTTTTCCTGCTCTTTAATACTCCAAGTCCTCTTTTGGCTAATCAACTTCACAACATGCTATCACTTAAATAGCTTTCAAACATAATTAAGGAGCAGCCCATTATTAATATTTGGTTGAAAAATTGTTAATACTCATGCAAGCTAATAAGATCAATCTTGTTGGTTCCATAAAAATATATGTGAAGGTATCATGTCTCTGTCTGCAAGAACTCATTAATGTGGCTTTAATGATGTAATACTAAGCAGCCCATGTTTTATCCTACTTTGTGTTAGTCTCTTAAAGGATTGTATTTCCTTCCTTCAAAGACATTATAGGAAAGGAATTTCCTTGGGTGGAACTGTTCCCAAACAGAGCTCCTATGTGACTGAGTCCAGCATCCCTGAGACACTGTCAGCACACACACTCTCAGAAATCAAGAGACACTGTAGACACAGCAGAGGACAGCTTTTTAGAGATACAGAAAACGTCCTGTGTTAAAATTAAACCAGAGAAAATTCCTGTTCAAGCAAATGCTTTTATTTTGCAACTTAGGCAAGACAAATGGTGGACAGACTCCTAAAGGAGATGCCACCCAGAGATTAGCAGCTGGTCATGCATGCAACTCGCTGTTTGCAGAACCAAGTAGCCCCTGACACCAGCAAAGGGTTGATTCCTTTGTGCAGTGAACATCATGTTGCTCACATTAACATAGCACCATCCTGAACATCTGTTAGTGTGGTATAAACAAACCACTGATCATCTCAGCTCCGAGCCAGGCAGCTAACACCTACACAGCTGCCAAGCAGACAGACAGCACAGCAAATAGTATCCTCTTATTCTGAAGCCAAATACTTCAGCAGTGTGAGCACAGGGACGCAAACAGGGACATCCAGAAGGGACCCACATCAGCCAGATGACAATCTGCCCTACCCTTTTTTTGAGAGCACAAATGCTCGTGAAATACTTTAGGCTGGTACTCGCTGGCGTCAAAGCTGTCCCAGGTTTAAAGCACAGGTGGGTGGAGTTGCTCACATAAACTGCCTCAACATAACTCAGCAGGAACACTGTCCACAGTGTGTATGAGTCTCCTGGTATTGGGTAAAGGTTCCCCTAACTAAAGTACGACTCAGAGAAGGACTGAGCAGAGAGCGGGGAGGTACCAAGACCTGGGGAATCTGCAATGAAAGCCAGGATGCCATGATCTATTTTCTACTGCTTATATATTTCTGAGCCTGTCTTGAAGGCTAAGTCTGAAAGTCACAAAATGCTAGAGCTGGGATGGGTCATCACTCTGGACAGGCACTTTACCTGTAAAGCCGTGGTGGTCCAGAGAGGTAAAGCAACTTTTATACATGCAATGGGCTAAATTAGAATGCAGTGATCTACCCCTCATCCAGCGTAGATCATATGCAGCCAATTGTTTCAATAAAGAAGCTTTAATACTGTAAATGCGTTTTCAATCCAAAAAAAAAAAAAAATTATCCCCACCCCAAAAAAAGAAAAACAAAACCAACAAAATGGTGCCTTCCATCTCCAACCTTCCCCTCTATCACTAAGTCCCAGGTCTAGCCTTAGGCCTTAAACTTTAAACACTGTTCATCATTCTCTCTCTCTCTCTCTCTCTCTCTCTCTCTCTCTCTCTCTCTCTCTCCTTCTCCCTCTTCCTCTCCCTGTCTTTCTCTATGCACACACACACAAAGTTTGGGTGGCTTGAGGTTTCTTGCTATACAGAGACAGACGCATCCCCAGGAGAGCACCCATAAGCGTTTCTCAGCCCAGGTCTATACGCGAGGTCTGGGAAACTGGCTTATTTTCTAGAAGGACAGGTGGTTCCGAAATCAGAAGATCATCCTCTCCGAAGGAGGAGTTCTGGTCCGTGTTCACGAAGTTGGGGATGTCAAACTTCATAAACCTGCTTAGCTCCTCCTCCTCAGGCCTCCCACTGCTTCTGATGGCTTCCTGGAATTGGACATCACTGTCGATGGCTGTTGTTTGGTGGCAAACTTTAACCCTGTCCAAGTGCTCCACTTCATTGATGTAACAATGGAAAAGAGACCTGGACTCCTCGTTGCCCTGACGAGAAAACACCTTGTCTGATTCCAGTGGCTTCCCAAAGTCTGACACAAAGCTGTTCATTCTGAACCTCTTCTCTGAGGACTCTGCATTGCTATAAAGACAAGAAGGAGAGGTCATAGATCTGCAGCTCATTCACCTACAGCCTGCATGTTAGAGAACATCCTTTGACAGTCACTGCTTTAATTACCTAAGAGTGTTCACAGGTATGACTCAATGAGGGCCAAGGTGCTTTAAGGCCCTCTAGCATGCCTGTGTCAGAATGAACAGCTTTGTGAATATCAAAAACTTACTTAAAATATATTTTTTGTGATGAGGTTTTTAATTAAAAATTTGTGTGTGTGTGTGTGTGTGTGTGTGTGTGTGTGTGTGTGTGTGTGTGAGTGAGTGAGTGTACAGTTGCCCACAGAGGCTAGAAGGTGTCCTGCATGGAGGGTAGGCCAGGAGATTGCCAGGAAGCACCTCCTGGGTGCCCTTTAGGGGGTGCAGGCCAGCAGTGAGATGCATCACTTCTGAACACAGACATCCAAGGCAAAATCCCCAGATGAAAGCCCCTGGATTTTCCTGAGGGCAGGTAGGGTACAGAACCCCTATAAGCCCTTCAGTGACCTCCACAGATTCCTAGATCCCCTGAATTGAAATCAGTTTTTAATCTTTATTTTGTGCTATTGTATGTGTGGTACATGTCTGTATATGTTTGTGTGTGTGAATGTCTGTGCAGGTACACAAGGAAGCCAGAAGTTGATATTCAGTGTCTTCTTCCGTTGTTTCTGCACCTTAGTTTTGATTTTTGTTTTTGATGTGTTTTTTTTTTGTTTGTTTTTGTTTTTTCTTTTATGAAACAGGCTCTTTCACTGAATCCGTAGCTCATGGATTCAGCTTAGTTTGGCTGGCCAGCAAGAACCAAGGAATCTTCCTGCCTCTACCTTCCCTGTATTAGGATTATAGTCACAAACCACCACACACTGGTTTTTATATGGGTTTGGAGGATCCAAAATCGGGTCAAACTTGCATGGCTATCTTCTAGCCTTGCATCAAAGTCAATTTAGGTGCCTCTGAAGAAAAGTCCTGTCTTGCAATCCTTTAGGATCTCTGGAGACAGACTCAGTAATCAGCATTTTCATAGTGATGTTCCAAGTCATACAGCACAAGCCTACAGCCTACAGCATAGGCCTGGAGCAGTGCCTAAAGGGAGCCCTGCCAATAGTTGCCAAGTTGCCTCCTTCCTCTTGGTCCCTCCTTAGTCATCTGGAACCTATCTCTGCAAGAAACCTTCCCCAACACTTCTGATCTGCGGTAGTTGCTCTACAGGGACTGGGTGCTTTTCCTCATTTATCCATTATCTTCCTCTCTGCCACGTGACTATTTCTCCACTTCTCTATCACCTCCTTTAGGCTTTAAGCTCCAGGGTAGTCATTGTGTGCTTCTTGCCTTCGTTCCCAGTGCCAAGAACAGCAGTTGGTATATGCTAATTGTTCAGCATGTTTTTTGCTGGATACGTGAATGAATGAACACATCAGTCATGAAGAGATCTGAAATCAAAGCAAATCTCGTCTTGGCAAGATGCCTCTTCGGCAGATCCTACAGGCTGGTAGTAAATTCAAAGGCATGCTCAGCTAAGGCCTAAAACTAGAAGCAGATGAACCTGAATGGAAAGATGATTGACACTAAGTGTAGATTCCAAAGACAGTGTTACCGGACTTCCAACAAATCAGTTCCGTGCAGGTCTCTCCTCTGTCTCTATTTGGTTACAGGAAACCACCTTGTCCTTGCTCCCCATGTCTCCAAAACCTGCTCAATCGTTTGCCATGGGGCTTTCTTCCCAGGGTGCTTGGCAAGCACAGACCATTTGGTACTTTGCACCCTCCGCAACTTCCAGAACTGGCCAGCCTGGGTGGTTGCATAGGCTCAGATACCAAGATAGGGGTGGGCTACCTTCCTGCTAGTTATTATTGAGAATAGCCCTCACGGAAGGTAATGAAAACTTTGCAGTCAAGTCCACTGTTACAACACAGCACCGCAGTCCACAAAGTACACATTCAAGGACTTTGAGCCGCAGGTTAGAGAGATGGCACAGCAGCCAAAACCAAGCACTGACTTCTTCTAAGGAAACTGAGTGCCTAGGACCACCTGTAACTCCAGAGCCAAGACTCCGACACCTTCTAGCCTCTGTGGGCAACTATACACATACAGCACACACACACACACACATAAATTTTTAATTAAAAACCTCATCACAGAAATATATTTTAAGTAAGTTTTTGATATTCACAAAGCTGTTCATTCTGACACAGGCATGCTAGAGGGTCTTAAAGCACCTTGGCCCTCATTGAGTCATACCTGTGAACACTCTTAGGTAATTAAAGAAGTGACTGTCAAAGGATGTTCTCTAACAAGCAGTGAGGAGCTTGCAGCTAAACTCTGCCTTCAGCTTTCAGGAAAGAAGTGCATGCACTATTGCTAGGGTTCATAAAATGTCTGTCTATTGACCTGGGTACCATTCCATAGGTTCTATGCTCTCATGATGGAGGAGGGCCAGCTGCAGCTTCAAACTCTCAAACTTGTAGGCCCTGGAGGAAACTAAAGCTCCCAATACCTATAATAGCAGTTAAAAAGATGTTTGAAACCAGCCAACTCTTCTGCGGCTCTGGCTATACCTGGGAAGATGGAAAACTACCAGGCCCTAACATCTTAAATTCCACCTGAGCTAAAATTATATCTGAAACAAGAAGCCTCAAGATTCAAGACCTGGAACCTTGAAAGGGTGGGCCAGTGGTTGTTACCATCATGAAAAGAGAGCACTCAAAGAATATTTGCCAGAGACTCTTATCTCAAAGACTCCTAGCACCTTTCCTCATTTATGACAGTTAATATCAGTGTGTGTACTACAGCCAAGAGCTGGCTAGAGTGTTTAGAAGTCCTCGCATGTCATCCTAAGGTCTGAGAAATGAAGCCTGTTTATTTTTTCTCATCATTTGTTCTGAGAACATGCATTCTTCATTTTTAATTTGTATTTCATAATCATCTCCAGTATCTTGTTTCCCTGACTACAGCTGACTGCTCTGATCCTTGGCTTTTTTGGCATCATAGGCTGCACCCTCTATGCTCCAGACCTGTGAGGTTATCAGCACCAAAATAGACAGCATCCCCCAGGAAGGCTCATATAGTCCTCTTACCTATGCAGTGACTGTCCTTACTCGACATGTCCCTACCCTGTTCTGTTTGAAAGGACTCTGGCCAGCTTGAACATGGCTCTGGCAGGCCTTGCTCTTCTCCCTGATTCCTTCTGCCCTGTTAAAAACTGTCAGATTACATTCCTAAAGCTAGCCACCAAGGTCTATCCCTCATTTGGCCACTTCCTTCTCCTGAGGCTGACTACCAAGGTCCAGCAATCGAAATATTGAAGTCCAGCAATCAAAAGCCCCCTTTGGCTCCTAATTAACATGCCCAATTAAAATTAAACACCTCATAAACTGACATTTTCCTATGTGTATGTTTGTCTCCTCTCTGTCCAGAGGCAGTCCTCTGTCCCCCGGGACCAATGCCCTTCTACCCCTTCCCCTTCTCCCTCATCCTCTATCTCCTGTCTTTGCCTCTCATTCTCTGCCCTCCATCCCTCTGGGGCAAATAAATCTGCTTTGTGCTAAGAAGTTGGTCTTAGGGGTTCTGAGCTGATACTGGTCCTAACACTATCAGCTGCTTTCAGCTCCCCAGCACCCCTGCCCAATATTCCTGATCTCCTCCCTCATACTCTCCTCCCCTTCATGTCCCCTCTCTCAGAAACCCACTAGCTCACTCTACAGTCTTGCTACAAGGGACCCAATTGGCTCCCTCCGTTCCTCTGTTTGAGGTGCCCTTCCACCAGCAGGCCGCTACTCTGATGTAGTCGGCGCCTCCATGGCAAGGCTCTGTGACCTGGCAACAGGAAGACATCTGTCCATCCCCTTTCCTCTCCCCGCCCCGCTCCCATCTTTTTCTGCTTTCTTTCATAGGTCCTGCTTTTCTGCCTTTTGTAGGAGGTATTTTCCTCTGGCCTTTTGTTTCCATACACAGATGTGCATACTGGTAAAAATCTGTGTCCTTCAAAGCATCTCAGTAAATGCTATATGAAACACTGAACACAGCAAGACTATCACCTACAGGGTGATCCCAAACCCTGACTGCTATGAGACGCACAGCCATCCCAAGATTCATCTTTTCATGACAGAAGACCAAATAGAACCAGGAAGATGGACGCCACGCACAGACCTCCACCGGCCGAGCACAGCACCGGTGATGCCCTGAGTCAGCCCCTAGGGATTTCCCTATCAATGAATTCCTGCACAGGGATCAGCCTCCTCGTCTATTCAGGGAAGGAGGTGGGCTGAACAGAATGGGGGCACCTGTCATTTCCAGCAGTCTCTTCCATGGGGCTCTTCCAAGCTGAGAGAAGCCCTCCTAAGTGAAATTCTATGAGAAAATAACCAGTACTTCTCATGGAGACACAGCCTACACTGAGAAGTTTATACAAGATGTAAATCAGCCCGATGGAGGCGCCAAGCACATACTTCTGTGAAAGCCTTTCTATTTCACTGGTTTTGGTGATTAGCAGGGAGATGTCAGGCTGTCCTGGCAGGCAAAATTCTACCACCATAGAATTCTTCTCAGCATGGACCTGGGCAAGCAGAACTACACTGCACTTAATAAACCTCCTAACTGATGGCAAAACAAAGACAACTCAGCAAAGGTTTATGGGCTGGGCGCAACACAGCCTTTCTACCGGTTGACAGGGCTCATCCACACCTTGGGATCTCAGGGTTCCTTAGCAACCACTCACCACATCTGCACCCTGCCAAGCTAGACCCAGGCTGTGGTCAGCACCGATGATGATTCCAAGCATGCTGACATTTTCCTGCTGTCTGCTCTGGTTGCACAACCCCATCCTGTAATGGGTCCGATAAATTACAATTTGAGGCAAAATGCCATTTTCAGTTTTATAAGGTCATGAGGTCATGAGCAAGCCTGTATTCACCCTTAAATAAAAGCTACCCCCTAGCAGAAGATAGAGCAATTAGCAAAGGCTACAAAATTTGTGGCAGACATCCGAGGCTTTTTTTTTTTTTTTTTAGAAGTCCAACATAAAAATGAACCTAAGAACTGCCTAACCTAACCCCACCCTTCTCTCTAACAGAAGTGTGCTAATGGGCTATGACGCTTTACCAAGACCCCACGCAGTCTCCCCAGCTAACAAATGGGACAGAATGGTTTGTCACGATGGCATCCAGATAGGAGCGTCCCCACCACACACAAATGCTCCACAGGAAAAATAATCACCATCAAAGCTGCTTCTGGGGCCTGGAAGCTTTGAAGAAAGAAGGTGCCAGCTTTATACCTGGATCTCTGCCTCCAGCCCCTTCCTTCCTTGTGCCCACAGACAGCTGGCTCTCTTCTCCTAGACAGGAAACTGACCACCATTCCCAGCCCTGGGTGATCAAGTGGGCAGAGGAAGTTCTGACCAAGGAGGAAAGGATGCGTACTACTTCCCAACTAAAGTACAGAAAGGCTGGAATCCCCATGTATGTTGCCACAACAACCAGGAGGTCAGAGGTAGGGACTGCAATGCCCTACAGCAGTGGCTCTCAACCTTCCAACTACTGTGACTCTTTAATACAGTTCCTCACGTCATAGAGACCCCCAGCCATAAAATTATTCCGTTGCTACTTCATAACTGTGACGTTGCAACTGTTATGAATCATACTGAAAATATCTGATGTGTAACCCCAGTGAAAGGGTCATTCAACCCCCCAAAGACGTTGAGACCTACATGTTGGACCCCTGCTCTAATGGAAGAAGTCTCTGTCCCTTGCCAACCTTGGCAGTCACACCAATTGAGGACGATTCGGCCTCTGCTGTGCAGGGACTGTTCTGTCCCATAACCCAGCTTAGCCTTGCCAGTGCTAGATCTTAAGATGGCACCAGACTTTGTGCGGAAATATAAAAACTGTGTTGATCCACTATCTCCCTGAGTGCGAACGGAATCCTCCCTCCACTTTGTTAGAAGAATCCAGGGTCCCAGGGAGACCTGTGACTGAGCACAGCTCAGAATGACTCCTTAAGGAAGCAAACTAAACAAGGGCTCTCCAGAGAAACAATAGAATGCAAACCTGCCCCCTCTTCCCCTCTTTTTTCCCCATCTCCTCCCTCTCCCCCCAGTCTGTGTGTGCATGCCTGCATGCTTGCGTGTGTAAAGAAATTTCATTCCAAAACTGGCTCATTCATACTTTGTAAGCTTCAAAGGCTGCAGGTACAAGAAAGAGTTCTTGTGTGGGGTGTCAGTGTTTTTATGGAAAGGTCCTCAGCAGAGTGACTGAAACCCATAAAATATGCAGCTTTAAATATCAACCGTGTACAAAAATGTCTAGAGTAGTGTTCGGCCAATAGGATCACCTAGCTAGGTTTATGTATGTGCCAGTTTGTATTTGCCAGTTTGTATGTGCACTATGTGGATGTCTGGTGCCCAATACGTTTAAAAGAAAGCATCAGATCCCCTGAAACTGGAGTCACAGATGGTTGTGAGCAGCCATGTGGGTTCTGGGAATCAAACCAGGATCTTCTGGAAGAGCAGTCACTGATCTTAACTTCTCTCCAATCTGTTTGGTTTTTCTGTTTGTTTAACCTTGTCTTTTCCTACTATTACAAACCACTTCATATGTTTGTGTTTCCTAGAACAATACTATGAAAAGCAAAGGTGCATGAGGTTGTCTTTGAGAGGAAAGCTAGGGAGAGGGAAGGGGAGAAGGAAAAAAAGGAGAGAGAAAATAAGATTATTTCTAGTGGCTTTTAAAGAGACTCTCCATCATAGGTCAGCTTATACATACTTCAACATAAGTGCCCCTCAGCTAGAATGTTTGTATCAAAAGGATTTCTCTAGTTTTTAACTAATCCTAGTTAGGATTTTTTCTAGTTCCTGAAGTCTCAATGTGTTGATGGTCCCTTTTGTTGGAACCTTCCTTATAGCTGAAGTTTGGAAATCAGAACCAACAACAGTCAGGAGAGATGAAGCAGGAAGACCCAGGCAGGACAGTATGCCTGTCAGGCTCAAATCTGTAAACACGTCAGCATTTGTACGCAATTTCTTTCATAGAAACTCTTTTCAGAAAATCGAGAAAATACGTCTTAACTTTAGTATAAAAATCAGATCTGGGATCAAAATGAAGATGGCAGGAAAAGACCAAAAAACCTGATCTCATGAGGGCAACAAGAGGCAAAAGACCGGGGAGAAAGTGTGATCCCACATAGCACCTGGATCTGGGGAGCAATCCCTGCCCTGCCCACCTCCCCAGCCCTGAGGCAGCCCAGCCAGAACTGGTTCCCTTTCTAGTTCTCTGTGAAGCAGAGAGCAGCCCAGACTTACTCTTGGTGTGGGGCGCCTGTCTTCGTCAGCAAAGTCAGCACAAAAAACATGAAAATCACAAAGACTGCAAGGCCAACCCAGAATCCAATCACAATGGAATCTGCAAGACAGGTAAGGTGTCATTAGTGTTTCACGTGAATTGAGTTAGGTTCAGGATTCTGAATTTTCTGGAGGTGCCAGGTGCACAGAATGTAACAAGTCAGTCAGCTATCACAACAGAGGTGTAGAGACAGGTCACAGGTTATCCTAAGCTTCAACCTCCTTTGCTACCTTGGATTAGACTTTTGTTTGTTTGTTTGCTTGCTTGTTATTGTTTTGTTTTGGGGTTTTTGTTTGTTTGTTTTTCTGAGTTATATGAGTTGACTCTCTTGTACCTCCTTGATGTTCACACTGAAACAATTCAGGTCTAGGTCACTATTTGGAAAGGAAAGGATGTATAGATGCCTCCTGACCACCACAAACAAAGCATACCTCCTCTTTCCCTGCCTTCCTTCTTTTCTGCACAAGCTGCTGTACTGCAGCTCTGAGGCTGGGGCTGGCCTACATCGGCAGGCTGAAAGTGCCACTCAGAGCACTTTCTTCAGTACCAGCAGCTGAGAAGGCATCCAGCAGGGCTGGCTTTTATCATTACAATGGCCATTATAATGTCTCCTAATTTACTCCTACTTTAAATCCCATTTGGATTAGGGGACATTGTGTCCCTATGTTTGCTTTAGCTCCTGGCTACAGCTTCCTCACACCAACACTTGAACAGAATTTCTCACCACTTTGGAGATGGTGAGAGTCTGTGCTGCAGTGTGGGTCCTTCACTTCCTTCGGCAGGCCTCCTCTTATCTCCCTACCTGGCATACTCCCTCCCTCCTTAAATCAGAGCACTTTATCTTTTCTTCTCTGAACGGGTCTTTCCTTGGTCCTGTCTTGAGCAAGAGTCATGACTTAAGAGTTTTTCATTTTAGGAGGTTTGAAAGTAATGTGAAGCCACTAAAACCTGTACCGTCAAATTTTCAGCTTCAGTATTTTCCCAGGCTTGCAAGATTCCATAGGTATGATGCTGTCTCTAGATAAAGACGGGTGACAGCAAGCTGCCACTCCCAAAGGGCTGCTCTGTCACAGCCGGGACAGCAATACTACACCATGGAATTCAGCTAAGCGATGTAGTAGGTTAGGTAAGTTAAACCATTTTTCAGCTTCCATATCTCCAGTTTATTGGGATGTATGCCATCATACGTCAAAGCTGTATAGCCTCTGTGTATGTGTCTGGGCACAAGGACTAGAGTCAGTTTCAGAGCCTGGCACACACAAACTAGGATCACAAACTGTTGAAGGGACAACAGTGCCGAATCATTCTACACTTCCAACTTTGAAAGGTTTACCTACTCAAGAATACAGTGAATATTATGAGAACTTAGAAAAAATAATGATCAGAGCTTATATAGTAAATGTGCTTAAATGCAAAAAAAATGTATTTATATGTATATGTACAGAACATTTTATAAACTTGACAATTTACTCTGCATAATCCATACTTGCCTAATATATATACTATTGACGAGATAGACAGACAGACATTTGAGATAATATATTTAGCACTCTGAAAAAATATTTAAAAATTAATGCCTCATTCCTAGTATCTTAATTCCTTGCCTTTTAATATAATGGAAATGAGACACAAAGGTAAAGGTGGGGTCTTCAGGATGGTTCCGCAGGGAAAAGCACTTGTGGAGAAAGCCTGACATTCTGCGTTTGTGTCCAGAACCCATGAAAGCTGGAATGAGAGAACCAACTCCACACAGTTCCATATGAATACCGAGACACCTGTGTGTGCGCAACACACACCATATATGCAAAACATACAATAATAATAAATACATAAAATTAAGAGACATAAAGATAATCACCAAAACCACACCTATTCAGGTACAGGTGACTTGGAATTATAAATCTCCATCATATGGGCATGTGCTGTGATGAAATGGTATGTAGCCATCTTCAAGTCTACACACTGCATTTTAGCAGCGGCTTCATAGAAAGAGCCAAGTCTGAAACTATACAACAGTGTCATGTTTCAGTCCCAGAATTAGAATACAGTGCTGTCATGATAAATGGCATTTCTAAGTCTGTTTATTGAGAAGGTCTCTTCTGAGGACAGTGTGGTCAGGGTCCCTGAGAGCCAGGGAGGAGAAATAGCTATGTGGCTGAGCAAAGTCTTTAATAAACTTAACCACATCTCTCCTGCAAACTCTTCTTGCTTAAGAAGCCAGAAGAAGTAAACAGGAATCAAACTAGGAACCTACCACAGAGGGCCTCTGAAAGCCTCTGCCCTGCAGACTATCAAAGCAGATTCTGAGCCTGACAGCCAACTGTCGGGCAGAGTGAATGGAATTTTATGTAAGAAGTGGGAAATAGCAAGAGCTGGAGAGGACAGGAACTCCACAAGGAGAGCAACAGAACAAGAAAATTTGAACACAGGGAACTTCCCAGAGACTCATACTCCAACCAAGGACTATTCATGGAGATAACCTAGAACCCCTGCACAGATGTAGCCCATGGCAGTTCAGTGTCCAAGTGGGTTACCTAGTAATGGGAAGAGGGACTGCCTCTGACATAATCTGGCCTGCTCTTTGATCACCTCCCCCTGAGGGGGGAGCAGCCTTACCAGGCCACAGAAGAGGACAATGCAGCCACTCCTGATGAGATCTGATAGACTAAGATCAGAAAGGAGAGGAGGACCTCCCCTATCAGTGGACTTGGGGAGGGGCATGCATGCAGAAACGGGAGGGAGGGTGGGATCGCGAGGGGAGGAGGGAGGGGCTTATGGGGGGATACAAAATGAATAAAGTGTAATTAATAAAAAATAAAAAGTTAAAAAAGAAGAAGAAGAAGAAGAAGAAGAAGAAGAAGAAGAAGAAGAAGAA